GGGATTTTCTTGAACTTTTTAAGCCAGTCACATACGTATGTTTTTTTTTTCCGCTTTCTTCATAAATTTCTTCTAATGTGCTCTGGTCCCATGCTTGATATTGAATTTCGACTCGATCGGTCTTCTGAGCGGTCAAAGAAGTACATTGCGGGATTGCACAAATGCTTTCGATATAGGTTCTCGTTTTCGAATCATAGCAAGCTGTTGTTGGATCAAGTCGCACTTGTACTCTGGTTCAAGCCCTTTTTTTTGGAAACGACTCGATTTCGAATGATTCTACTGAATCTGCGAAGCTAGTGTAGAAATCCGTCAGTATTTATCCCATGGCATCTAAAGATTATTTAAGTTAGACGAACAAAAGTTAGCTTAGCTATTTCCTACAGATGAAAATCGCTCAGCGTTCGGGGTGTGCGCCAAAAAAGCAGACCTTAAACGGTCTGTTGTGGTGCGTTGGCTTTGTAGATGCTAGAATCGTGGCTTTTCGGTGTGTTCAATTTTGAGCAATTACTAAAATTCAGCTTGGCATGGTCAGTAGATGAGCTGTAGGGCTGGAAGCGGGTGAGGAGTCGGGTGACGTTTAAGTCTCTGGGACCGTGTAGTAGGGGAAAGTCGAGGTCACTGAGTGCAGAGGAGCTGAGACTCCGATTGGAGGCAGCAAGTGGGAACAGGGACGGGATTTACAAGGGAGGGGGTAGATTTTCATATCCAATTTTTTGTACTTGATGTCTAGGGAAAGTTAGCAGTCTTGAACACGATGTCTAGAGCCTTGCGTAGACAAAATATCGGGTAAGGCAATTTTCGCAACCCGAACCTAAAAACGAATACATATTGTGCGCCAAGCTGAGCCAAGTTTTAGTTAGTAGCCCAATTTAGAGCTAATATCCTTTGCTGCCTTTTTTCTTGCAATACTAGCATACATTTCAGCAGGAGCAGCACGAGAAGCATACCTCTTTCGATGCTTCTTAGAGAATGAACTCAGTGGATTGAAAACGAAGAGAAGGCTTTGAAAATTTCCTCATTGTTTGGTTTTCGCTGAATTTTTAATTTTTCACTTTTTTCACTTCGAATCTTTATTTTTTACTTTTTGTGTAATTTGTGCTAATGAAGATTAAAATAAGACTGTGCCGTTCACGCATATTGTTGTTAATGTTGTAACTCTGTTCGTATAACTCTATACTTTTGTCATAACTCGATAACAAGGGAGGCTTCGCCAGGTGATTTCTATTATTTTGCATGTGAATATCAAGTGTTTGTTATACACATACAGTCACACACATTTCCAGCCATATACTGTACATGTACCAATTTTGTCGCGGAAATTCAGCGAAAAGCCGACAGTGTTGAAAATATGTACTGCACACAGTGCAGCAGCCAGGCGATGCAGAGTACGTATGAGGACGTCATTCATACAGAATATAGGTGCTCTAGCAGGTGCGTGCAGCACAAGCGCCAGTGGCGCAGTGATGTCATATTCAGATTTGGAGATTACTGATCCGATTCTTTCTTGGCCCATAATCGCTTTCAAAAGGAGCTCCGTCTGCGAGATGTGGTATGGAATAATAAAAGTTTAGCCCTGTTCAGAATTTCACTTCAGATTTTCTTTAAACATGTTGCTTGGCCTAAACGCAGATGCTCTTCTCCAGTTCATACTTCAAGCTAGGATAATATAACCTTATATTTGTAAAAACAAATTATATTCAGACGGACCTAATGTTACCTAAATCAAAATGCACTTACAAGCTATTATCGCGAAATAACGACGAGTGGCGAAAGTTGCTGGCGCTGTTGGCAATTGGCGGACGTCAGGAATTAGCGAACGGTGCTCTTAAGAATACAAGCGATCGCTCGAAAAGCTTCCTTAGAAGCTGCGCACATACATCGAACAGGCTTGTAACTCAGGATCGAAGGGCCTGGCATATTTGCTCCCGGCATGTGGGAGCATATAAATAACTTCACTAAAATGAGGTACCCAAATTGATATCGGAATGATTCTAGTAATGTTGGCAATTGCGTTTTCTCAGCTTTCAGAAACATTTATTCAAAACTGTCCGAGAAACAACTTTTGATCATCTTTACAACGCAGAGTTTAAATTTTTATGGTTCTCCCTCTGTGACTTGTCTGATTTCTGGTGTTGAATCAAAGAGGTTTGGCCATTCATGCTTTTGTCGCAAAAACGCCACCTGTTTTCTCACCAGTATGAGTTCGCATGTGTACTTGCAAAAGATCTTTCCGCCCGAAACTCGAACTGCAGCTATCGCA